TTCCATTATCGCTTAGAGGTAAATACATCGGTAGGCTTTTACGCTATCTAATAAGAATTGTTTTCAAAGTTATTTGAACTAAAGCCGCCTCCTTACAGAACTCAAATTATCTACTTTTATCGACTCCAAGTTGCACTTTAGCTCTTTTTGTGTTGCTCGATTTTATTCTCTAAATGTGAATATATAGATATATACTTTTAGAAGCAAAACGCTGATGACCCCTGCGCCAACACCGAGTTGTCTCGGTACTGCTGAGGGTTTTTCACAACTCCTTGCCAGTGATTCGTCGAAATCAGTGGGCGTGGCAGCTATCGAAACGCTTCTCACTGCACTTGAAAATAGCAGAGGTGAGATTTGAGATTGAAATTTCTAAACACCATTTATTGTTTCTCGATTTATAGAATGTTGCATGATAGAGGACAAAAATTCCGTATAAAAGTGGAGTAGATAGTGTGCAATTCAAGGTGACTTTAGACATGTGAACTTGTCATATCACATCTAGTTTGCGATGTTATTTTTTTAAAGAAGAGTTCTAGTACTGTAAGAATCCGTAACCTTTACTCTGGATTTTATGTCGCTATACATAGCTCCTTTCAAATAAGCACTTGCAGCTACCACTGTGAATGAATTAAACAAGGAGTTAACGGAAATCGTAAATGGAATGGCAAAGACGGATTACAGTTCCACTTCTATACGAAGTGCAAGCGATCTTTTCCGAAGGTATGGCTTGAGTCAGCTGTCTAGTCGTACATTTTTCTCGCACCTTGATGTCAGGTTTATCACTCTCGCTCCTGCTGAGTTGCTTGATCAACGCGATTTCACAAAGGTTCTTTCTTTTTATCGACAACGAGGCAAAATTTTCATAGAACGAGTCGGTAAATCGAGAGGGATGATTGCGAGACACGCCAGGCCATTCTTCAGGAACAACATGGTGGGGTTAAAAAGCTGTGAAGACAGACAGACAAGCAAACATTTTTCGATTGACTTCGTTTTTTTTCCAGAACATATTGACGC